GGTTGCAGGATGCAGCAGCATTACAAATACAGTTATATTTCTAATACCAGCAGTGAACAATCAGAAATTAAATTTTTAAAAACATCATTTTAAGAACATCAGAATATTAATTACTTATCGATAAATTTGACCAAAGATGCACAAGAACACAAAACAATACTAAGATAATTTCAAAAAAGACCTAAATAAATGGATAAATATACCTTGTTTTGAAAACTTGATATTGTTAAATGTTTATTCTCCTGCAGTTGAACTGTCAGTTCAGATTAATCCCAATCAGCATATTTATAGGCTTTGTGTAGAAAGTGACAAATTGTTTCTAAAACATATATAGAAAAACAAAGGACCCAGAGTAGCCAAAACTTTAAAAAGGAAGAACTAAGTTAGTGAACTATCACTTCCTGGTTCCAATACTTATAACACTATGGTGATTAAGACAATGTAATACTGATATCAAGAGAGACACATAGAACAGTGGAACAGAATGGAAACAGAATGGATCTGGAAACAGGCCCACATATATGGGTAAATGATTTTTGATAAAGGTACACAGACAACTCAGTCAAAAAGAGTTCGTTTTTTCAGTAAATGGTGCTGCAACCATTGGCTATTCATTTGCATAATAATTCACCTTTATCTATTCATTATACCATATAACTTAAAATTAATCATGTAAATTCTAAAACTGTAAAATTTGTAGAAGAAAGCATAAGAGAAATTTTTTAGATTTGAAACCAAAAGCACAATCCATAAAAAGACAAATTAATAAATTGGACTTTATCAAAATTAAAACCTTTTGCTCTTCAAAAAAAGCGTGCTGTTAAGAGAATGAAAATACTAGTCACATGTTACAACTACTTACTGGCAAAGTATATATCTGATAAAAAGACTTGTATTCAGAATTCATAAAGATTCCTCAAAACACAATAGTAAGAAAACAACCCAATAAAGTAGGCAAAAAGATTTGAGTTAACATTTCATCCAAGAAGATTTGCAGATGCAAATGAGCACAAGAGGAAAGGTACTCAATGTGTTTAGTCATTATAGAAAAGCAAATTAAAACCACAGTGAAATATCACTATGTACCTACTGGTATGGCTAGAATTTTATTCAGAATGACAAGACAGAGCATTGGCAAGGCTGCTGAGCAACTGGAATGCTCATAAACTGTGTGACAATAGAGAGGGGCACCACCGTTTCGTTAAATGGTTTGATAGAGTTTTAAAAACTTCATCCTTCAACCAACATTGACTCCAGCCATTGCAGTCATAGGTATTTACCCAAGAGAAACGAAAGAACATGTCCATACAGACTTGTGTTTATAGCAGTTTTATTTGTAGTTTTCTAAAAATTGAGAACAACCATAAGTCCATCACCAGAAGAATGAATACACAGATGATAGCATATTGATGCAATGAAAAGAATATTGATACATGTAACAGAATAGATGAATTTTAAAACAATTATACTGAGTGACAGAAGCCAGACCAAAAGTAAAATACATACTGGATCTCTTCACATATAAAAAATGCTAGAGAATGCAAGCTGATCTATAGTGATAGCTGATCAGTGGTTGTCTGGAGATTGGAGGGGGAGGAGAGACGGACTATAAGGGAGGATGATGAAACTCTTGGGAGGGATAAGACATTCATTATCTTGATGGTGTTGTTGGTTTCATGGGTATAGACACATACCAAAACACCAAATGTGATATTGTCAATGTGTGCAATTTGTCATAAATCAGCAGCAGTAAATGTGGTTTATAAAATCCCTCCATCCCCCATGTACCCCAGCCCACAGCTGCCTCGGCTGTGTGCTCCAGTTCATAGCTGGCCTAGATCTGGTGCCCACTCACACTGTTCCCTCCCCAGTCTATCGCTTCCACCCACACCACAGGCCCTGACCTTGTCAGGGTCAACAGTGCTAGGCCCCTGAAACACTTACCCTTCTTCTACAGGTTTTCAAAATCAGGAAACATGGGATAAACTTATTTTTATCAGGATACTAATTGCATTTTACAGAATAGGCGTAATGTGTTCTTCTTCAACCTACAGACACCTTTTCCCCATTTCTCGATGTTTTAGACATTCTGCAATGTATTTATTGTGCTTTGGTCAAATTAACAATTGAAACCATTGTTTTAGGGTTAGAGGAATTTTATCTGCTAAGGTGTCTGGAGATTGAAGAAAAATGCATCGCGCTTATTTGAAAATCTGTGACATACTCTTTAAAAATATGCTTATGTTGCCCGACTTTTGGGACACTGGGCCTGTCATCAACGTCTGCCTTGCTAAAAGTCTCTCTCCCTGCCTTCTCCCTATGCTCATCCTCTCTGGCCGCATGTCCTCAGTCTCCTGTGGACCCCTTTTACTCTGTCTGTTTCTCCACTGTGGCCCCAGGAGTTAACCTCGTGGCCTCTTCTTTTCTAAATCTGCAGCTCTTATCACCGTCCAGACACTGATGGCCCCAAACTCCATGCCTCTGTGCTTTTTTTTTTTTTTGAGAAAGGATCTCACTCTGTTGCCCAGGCTGGAGTGCACCCGGTCCCGCCTGTGTTTCTGATTCATGTCTCCAGACCCTCCCTGCAGTCACTGCTCGGACTCCACAGCCTTGAGCTCATGGGAGCGGGTTCAGAACTGACATCTCCCTCTATACTTCCAAGACCCCTCCTCTCCCTAGGCTTTGCTCCTCAGCAGAGGCCAAGGCCGTTCACCTTAACTTACACTGCACGTCTACCGAGTACCCACTTGTGCGGGGCACAGGTCCCTCTTCTGTCCCCCTTCATCCCCGCTGGCACTGCCGAGCATGCCTCCAGTCTGGGTTGCTGCCACAGCTTCCTAATGGGACTCCCCGCCTTTTCTCCACATTCCCGCTCAGTCGCTGGTGAATGAGGTTGGTCCCTCCTCCACTTCTAGTGGCTCTCGGACCTGCAGGACAAAGGGCGGGCTGCTGGCAGGATCTGCGAGGCCTGCGAGTCCCATCTCCGCTGGCCCTTCCTAGTCTGCCCATCCCTGTCCTCCCTGAAGTTCTGTGTGCCACACATTCTCAGTCCTTTGGTCAACATTTCCTCGCCTCGGGGCCTTTGCACAAGATTTCCCTTTTGCCAGAAATTTCCCTAGCTCAGTTCCCATTTGTCTGTCTCACAGGCCTCCCATTAAGTGTCATTCCTACAGAAAAATGCTTTTCCGACCCCCACGTCAGGGGTGTCGTCACTCAGGACACCAGCCCTCAGGTCCATCCTCGGTAGGCATGCACAGTCCTAGGGTCGAGCGAAGCTGCTGGGCTGAGGTAAAGGCGATGCCTTCCATCTTCTTCGGTTCAGGCTTCTATGGCAAAATACCACAGTCGGGCTTCTAAGCAAAGACATGTGTCTCCCATGGTTCTGGGGGCTGGAAGTCCAGGAACAAGGCGCCAGCAGGTCTGGGAGTGCTGAGGACCTGCTTCCTGGGCCTCTGTGATAAGGATGCTAATCCCCCCGGCCTGAGGACCCCACCCTCACAAACGAATCCCTGCCCAATGGCCCTGTCTCATCACCTCAGAATGGGATCTCAATATGTGGATTGGGAAGGACACGTTCAGCCCATAGCACTCCTGCTGTTAATAAGCCAAGGTCAGGCCTTGAAGAAACATCGGCTGGGTGGAGCTAGGGAGAGCAGCGCCCTCGCGTTTATCCAAGAGGTGGTTAAAGGTTGTTAAAGCCCTGGCCTGAGAGTCCAGGAAGAGGACCTGAGGGAAACCGGAGAGGATCACGGAGGATCACGGCACAAGGGCAAAGTGCCCCTTGTTTTCAGACAGGCCTGGACAGCGCCTGACGCCCCCTCATTGTTCTGGGCTTGAGTTTTCACTTCCTCGTCTGCAAGATTGTTGTAAGGGAGGAGTGAGAGAGGGTGTGTGCAGGCCTGGGTCCACTACCTGGTGATAAGCTGCTGCCTAAACATAGCCATGATGAGGCTGCCGTCGTAAACCTCACCCTCAGCTCCACTGTAAATGCTGCCAGTGGGGGAGGACCCCTGACATCAAGGGGAGCCTGAGGGGGCTGGGAGGCGGGGGCCCGATGGTGCCTCTCAAGACAAAAGGCATGCTGGGCCGCTGGGTGCACGACTGAGGCCCGGCCTCTGCTCAGAGAGGGATGATGGGGATCGTGATTTGCTAGCACCTTATTTTGTGTGAGTGACCCTCTCCAGATTTCAGTTTCTCGTCTTCATATTGGAGACAATGCCCATAATGATAATTATGACAGCGATGCAGCACTTCTTTGGTTGAGCTGGTGTTTTCATGCATTATGACAGGTGTGATGCTTGAAACAGTATCTGACACACAGTAAGAACACGGGACGTATTCTAGGCAACCCCCATGTGGTGGTAGTGGTGGTGGTGGTGGCGGCGACTGTTCGTGTCAAGAGAAATCTGTTTGTGTCCTTAGATACTCGCTTTGACAGCATACTGAAAAAGTGGGTTATCTGCCCAAGTCACAGCACGGCTCAGTTTAGAAGGTGTTGAACTCTATGAAACGCAGTTAGAAATCCTGTGTTTTTTTCACATGGTTTCACGTGAATCCATCACTTTTCTTAAAAATGTGGATTGGTTTTTGCCTTGAGAGGCACAGGAATATTTCCTTCAAAATTCCACAAATCCATTTTGCGCTGTGGCTGAACTGACAGAGGAAGTTTAAGCATCCCATCAAATGGGATAGGAACTTGTCAGCTGGCGTTGGTTCATTCACGCCACAAAGACTCGGCACTCAGGAGGGTCTGTGTGTGGAGGATGCGGTGGCAGTCTGTCACGATTCCTCCCTCAAGGAGCCCCACCCCGGCAGTGAGAGACAATCCTGTAGGACACTGAGGCCAGCTGGAGAACCAGGGAAAGGACTGGGCAGCAAGCAGCTCTAGAGAATGGCAGGGACCTGTCGATAGAGCCATCGCCTCGCCAATGGTTTCACGTTGTTTTTTCCCGAATACAATCACAAGTTTCAGAAAGCTTTCAAGCATATTTGTGTTTCAGAAAGATTACCTCGTGGGACTGTGAGGAGGATGGTGTCAGTGTATGCACATCTCAGCGTGCCCCAGGTGTATGAGTCCGTGTGATTGCACACGAGCTCAGGAGATCTGAAGCGCTGCCCCTCGGCTTCTCAACAGACACTGAATCACTGTGCTGCTTCCTTCACTGCAGGTGCCCTTGCTTGTGTGAAGGAACAGAGACCAGAGCATGGCAGAAACCCACCTGCAAGATGCCATGAGCATCATCCGCGGATTCCACGTGGCCAGGAACATCGAGATTTGGTGTCACCCTCTCGTTCACAGGCCAAAGCGCGTGCAGTTGACTCTCAGGGTGTTCTTGAATAGTGGTTCGAAGGGAGGGGGAAATGCTGACCTGCTGCGCGGCGTGTGTGCCAAGGAAATGTGTTTTGCCTCTGAATATTTTAAGTTGCCAATAAACTATACTTGTTGGCAGGTGAATGGGAATCTACATGCTGGAGCCCAACACTCGCACTTGGTATTGATGGGCAAAGTGAAAAGAATCATGTCTTAGACTGACTTTGGACCTTTGAGATATTTCTCATATGTAGATGGCTAAAATCATCTACTGGTTTAAGATCATTGGGATTCTGGGAAAAAATACACAAATCAATGGAAATAACCTGAATGTTATAAGCTTCATCATGCTATGTGTTTTGGTGGTCAGAAAAAAGGGGTGGAGAAGCTTTTCAAAGGTGACTGTTGGGTAATAAAACTACTGGATTATTTTTCCTCAAATGTGAGGTTGACACCTCACAGAGGGTCTCCGACTATGATCTAACCTAATAAACTTTTAAAAATCAACCATTCTCAGAAAATAGTTGGGCACAGTTGGGTAGCCAGGGCATTTCTGAGCCCTCCAGCGGTAGTGGGTGGCTGGTGATGGCCGGTACCCCACATGGGCGGCTCTTCCCCGGTGGGCTATGAAGGGAAGCAGGCCTCCCCCTGGGGCCTGTGTCCAGAGCCTGTCAACCTCCCTGGGAGTCTTCTGAGATCCTTCAGAGGGCCAAGGAACAGGGAGGTTGGGTGCCTACCTGTCACAGAGATCGGGTCAGGGTTGTGTCTAGCACTTCACAACTCTGGTTCAGTCTTGATGTTTTTGCCTGACGATGCATTGGCTTCTTTTGTATTATACGACTGTGTTCTTGTAGCACACGGTGCCTGGGCACCCGTATTTATAATGAAGTTTAACTACAGCCGTAGTTTTTCATATACGTCTCTAAAAAAATTTTGTTATATTGAAAAAAAAAAACTGAAAGAGGGTACTAGAAATCAAGAGGAGTTTATGAAGTAAATGTTCTTAGTGAAAAAAAAATATGGTAAGATCATGTCAATGTTTCACAGCTACTTCGGATCCAGGCATCACGTAGAATGGAAACTTGGTGCTGTGTTTTCCGATTAACGTTCCCAGACTCCCTTGGGGGAGCAAGAGCTACCAGCCAATTGCTCTTCATCACAGGTGTCTACTCTCATGTCTTTTAGTGCCACAAATAAAAGGAAAACGGACCATAGCTGTCGTGTGAATTTCCTTCTGCACTGTGCTTGGATACCCGTCTTCCAAAATGGGAAGGTGGGATTTGTTTAACCAGTCAACAAATATGCGTGGCAGTCAACAGTCACTGGGTCCCAGACAGGAGACAGACAAAAATCCCCGCCCTTGTGGAATTTACATGACCGTGGGAGACAGGCTAAGAGACATGATGAGTGAGCAAAATGCTGAGTATATTCTGATGCTGATAAGTGCAAAGACAAAGATCATCAGTAAAGGGGTAATGGAAGAGTCAAACCCCGGGGAGCTATGAAGGGCAGCGGGCCTCCCTTCATGAAGAAAGCCCTCCGTGAGGAGGTGACATTTGAGTAAAAACCTGAAGGAACTGTGAGAACCAGTCATGGCTGATTGCATGATTGATGGAAGAGCAAGTGCAAAAGCCCTGAGGTGGGATGTTGCCTAGGGTGTTCGAGGAGCAAGGAAGCTGTTGTCAAAGGATGGGAGAATTTCCCTGGCCTCGGCACCCCCCGGCCTTCACATGCTACTTAGTGCCCCGTTTCTAAGAGCAGCCTGGCTCCTCGACCAGACCACGAGGGAAGCAGACATAAGGGACCCAGAGGTGGGCCTTGGGGAGAAGAGGGTGCCCACTCCCCCTAGTTTATTTTGCTCATGCGGGAAGGACCAACCTTGCATTAAATCTGTTCTTAGTTGAAATTGTGTTACATTCTGCATCTCAAGCTGTGCAGAAGCTTTGGGTTTTGTAATACAGAATCATTCCAGCCTCTGGGTCATGCTCTCATTTCCACGACGGTTCTTGGTTCATCTTCTCAGTAAACCCAAGTGGTACAGAGGCACTGTCTTCTAGAGGAGTGAACAGAAGGCCAAGAAGATGGAGCAATTCTGTCACTTTCTCATTCTTGAGGCAACCCTTCTGTGATTCCCTGTTGAATCTAAATTCCTTAGTCTACAAGACCCTTAGAGGCCTAGATCCACATTCCCCAACACACACACACCTTCCACCTCCCTCCTTCCCTCCCTGCCTCTCCAGCCTTGACCTTGGCCACTCCTCCACCTGTGTCCCGCCTCAATATTGGACCACCTACAATTGACCACACGCACCGGGACCTACATGTGTTCCCCTCACTCCTGGAGCAATTCCCTGTCAGAAATGCCAGCAGCCACCCCTACCCACCGCCATCACCTGGAACGCCCTGTCTTCCACAGGCAGCCCCTCTATCTCCACCCTCTGGCCGCCTCCCATCACGTTCATGTTTCCTCTGTTAATTCTGCCCTTCCCTACAAGTCTCCCTTCAGGTTCAGAGCTCACCCCTGCCTTTCAGACCACAGCTGGAGCTGGGCGGGTCTCGATGAGCTCTCCTAGCCAGTCTGGTACTTGGTCCTGGGGTGGCCAGAAAAGGGCCGGGGCACACCTGTGTCCTAGCATAATGATCACTAGCATTCTGTCTCACTCCCTGAATGTCCCAGTTTCAATAAAAAATTCTATAGTATTCCTTATCTTCTGGAGCAGAAGAGATATTCAATAAATGTTCAGCAAAGAATGAATCCCCTAAGAGGAGACGAGAAACTGAGCTGGTTCGGGGACAGGCTCTCTTCTGTCTGCTCTGGGATCTTTCAGGTTCCCCTGCCTCTACCTCACACGTATGCTAGAAGGTTCCCCCACCTCTTCCTCACATATATGCTGGAAGTTTCCTCTGCCTCTACAGCCCTCGTATTCTAGAAGATTTCTTTGCCTTTACATCACCTGTATGCTAGAAGATACCCTCCCCACCGCCACATCACACCTATACTAGAACGTTCCCCCTGCCTCTACCTCATACATATACTAGAAAATTTCAGCCGGGCTCGGTGGCTTAGCCTATAATCCCCCGCCTTTGGGAGGCTGAGGTGAGTGGATTGCCTGAGCCCGCAGGTTCGAGACCCGCCTGGGCAGGCAAGACCTCATCTCTACAATAAATCAAAAAATTAGCTGGGCGTGGTAGTGTGCGCCTGTAATTTCGGCTACTCAGAAGGCTGAGGCGGAAGGATCGCCGGAGCCCAGCTGGTCGAGGCTGCGGTGGCTGGGAGTGGCCACTGCACTCCAGTCTGGGTGACAGAGTGAGACTCCAACTCAAAAAAAAAAAAAAAAAGAAAATTTCCCTGCCTCTATGTCACATATATGCTAGGTTCCCTCTGCCCCACATCACATGGATACTAGGAGTTTCCCCCTGCCTCTACTTACATATATGCTAGAAGTTTCCCCTGCCTCTACAGCCCTCATATTCTAGAAGATTTCTTTGCCTCTACATCACCTGTATGCTAAAAGATACACCCCTGCCATGTCACACCTATACTAGAACGTTCCCCCTGCCTCTACCTCATACATATACTAGAAAATTTCAGCCGGGCTCGGTGGCTTAGCCTGTAATCCCGTGCTTTGGGAGGCTGAGGTGAGTGGATTGCCTGAGCCCGCAGGTTCGAGACCCGCCTGGGCAGGCAAGACCTCATCTCTACAATAAATCAAAAAATTAGCTGGGCGTGGTAGTGTGCGCCTGTAATTTCGGCTACTCAGAAGGCTGAGGCGGAAGGATCGCCGGAGCCCAGCTGGTCGAGGCTGCGGTGGCTGGGAGTGGCCACTGCACTCCAGTCTGGGTGACAGAGTGAGACTCCAACTCAAAAAAAAAAAAAAAAAGAAAATTTCCCTGCCTCTATGTCACATATATGCTAGGTTCCCTCTGCCCCACATCACATGGATACTAGGAGTTTCCCCCTGCCTCTACTTACATATATGCTAGAAGTTTCCCCTGCCTCTACAGCCCTCATATTCTAGAAGATTTCTTTGCCTCTACATCACCTGTATGCTAAAAGATACACCCCTGCCATGTCACACCTATACTAGAACGTTCCCCCTGCCTCTACCTCATACATATACTAGAAAATTTCAGCCGGGCTCGGTGGCTTAGCCTGTAATCCCGTGCTTTGGGAGGCTGAGGTGAGTGGATTGCCTGAGCCCGCAGGTTCGAGACCCGCCTGGGCAGGCAAGACCTCATCTCTACAATAAATCAAAAAATTAGCTGGGCGTGGTAGTGTGCGCCTGTAATTTCGGCTACTCAGAAGGCTGAGGCGGAAGGATCGCCGGAGCCCAGCTGGTCGAGGCTGCGGTGGCTGGGAGTGGCCACTGCACTCCAGTCTGGGTGACAGAGTGAGACTCCAACTCAAAAAAAAAAAAAAAAAGAAAATTTCCCTGCCTCTATGTCACATATATGCTAGGTTCCCTCTGCCCCACATCACATGGATACTAGGAGTTTCCCCCTGCCTCTACTTACATATATGCTAGAAGTTTCCCCTGCCTCTACAGCCCTCATATTCTAGAAGATTTCTTTGCCTCTACATCACCTGTATGCTAAAAGATACACCCCTGCCATGTCACACCTATACTAGAACGTTCCCCCTGCCTCTACCTCACACATATACTAGAAAATTCCCCTACCTCTATGTCACACGTATGCTAGATTCCCCCCACCCCACATCACATGTCTACTAGAAGACTCCCCAGCTTGTAGGTCACACATATACTAGAACATTCTCCCCTGCCTCTACCTCACATGTTAGGCTAGAAGGTTCCCCCTCACCTCTACGTGACACACTACACTAGAAGAGAGTCCTCCAGGCCTTCCAGGCCTCCTGCCATACAGGCATCCAGGGTGAAAGCAGTCAAGAATCTTCCCGCATGGCCCTGGCTTCTGAAACCTGCTTTGTCTCCTGAGACAGGAACGGGTTCATAACTCCTGCTGCTGGCATGACAGGGCAGGTCCGTTTGAATCTGCCCAACAGTTTCACATTGCCCCGCAATACTGGTACAACCGTGTCCCACTCAGGGCATCGCCACTCTCCCCTCTGTGCCAACAACCACATATATTCACAGGTAGCTTTTCCGCTAAGTTCCTGATCTGAAGTGTTAGGTACCCCCAAGGCCCCTCCCTTGCACTTCCTGCCTGCTTGTGGTGTCTTTCCACGGCCAGCCTGCCGCGTCCCGCCCAGCTGCCCTCACCTTCTGGGCAGCCTACCTCCATGGTCTTCTGGTCAGGACAACAAATGAAACAACCCCACCATCTCCAAATTCTTTCCCCCTCCCTCCTATAGCCATCAGATGCTTAAGCCCGTTGCTTCCTCTTCCATGGCTTCTCTTACCACCTTAGAATCATGCCAACTTCTTATAAGTTCAGCCCCTTACTTGTTCATGCTTTCCTTACGCTGACCTCAGAGTTCACCAGAAGAAGGAGGCCTCGCAGATGCCCCACGCCATACTGGGCACAGAGCACACATCATGGAGAAGCCACTGGAACCCGGCACTAAGCCATGTCACAAACAGAGCTTTGTCATCCTGGCTCCTTCATCACCTTTCTCAATGGTTGGGCACTTAAAAGGGACAGAGGATGTATAGTTATCCCACCTAGTATAGAAATAAAACAAGACAGAAAAGAAAACGGCCAAGAGAAAGACAAATGCCACCCCCAAAGCCCAGCAGGGACCCTCCTCCTGAGCACAGGAGTCCCTAGCTCCCTTTGTCCCTCTTACCTCACCCGTGGGTGACAGGGAAGGAATCAGAGCATGCTGTCATGCCGAGCCGGACTTGCAGGGCACAGCAACATCAGTGCAGAATGTGGCCAAGTGGCGTTCTGAAATCTGACCAACTCAGGACGCTCCCTCTGGAGTGGAGCAGTGGGGAGGGGAAGGGAGGGGAGGGCAAAGAAGCATCTGGGGAGGCTTCCTTTCCTCTGCCTGGTTCCTCAAGTCTTCCTGACTCGTGTGCCATGGAAGGGAATTTCCCAGAGCCCAAACACCTCGGCAGTGAGGGCTGCAGCTTGGGGTCATTCCTTGTTTGGTGCGTGGATGACGCTCTCGTGGGGACGTGACACCTGGACCCAGGCGTGCTTGCTCGTGTAAACTTTGGTTCCAGGCTGTGACTGATGTCAGCATTTGCCCCCAAGGGTTTCGTTGGAGTGGAGACCACAAGCGTTCTTC